TATTGCAGAATGGAAAGAAGTAAATTGGCTAGGAATCGCTGTTGTTGTACACTGTCTCAGGAATCTGCAGTAAAGATCCCAATAAATCACTTTGAATAACTTCTGTATTCATACGTTGGGAAGATATACTTCATGTCCACCCCTATTTAGAAACGTTATCGCATTGGTGTTTGACCTTACTAGTGTCTATATTACCCTATGGACCTCAAATGAAGCATTGCTTAACCAGATTGGTTAGCAAAGTATAACAAACTGAGGCGGCACTCATAGCTCTAGGGCATTGAAATAAATATGTCCTATATAATATGAGAATCATAAACATCAGTCGGTTACCATTTACATGTGAAATTCTGGCTGTTCTCATACTATAAAGACGCATGGCGAACTGATTTGTGAAGATTAAACTGCCTTTCATTAGTTTTTAGAATACGTTGGCCAAATTCATCATCCACCAAATGCATGAGTAGTATCACACATAAAGCATTCGAACAACCGTTAATCGTTAGACAAATATAATTCAGATACGGTGAAATATACATCTACTTTTCGTTATTGTTGTAAAACAGCAGTAGAACAAGGCAGGGTTTTTCGATTTTGCCATCTATCTTTAAGTAATCAATGTCATTCGTGCAGCAGCTCTGAAGGACATGTGTTTTGGTGACGTAGATACACTGATTGTGGAAAAGCTTTTCAACCTAAAGTATCGAGAGATGGTATCACCCGATAATACATTGATTCCCCAAAAAGCACGTAATCAATTGTTTGACAGTGCCTGTAACAAACTATAAACTTCATTCAGATGATCTTCGTCAGAAACATGGCCATTTACTGGTAGTATTTTTCTTACATGCTATTGCAAGGGAGTTTATTGTCGCGGTTTGTTTTGAAGTTATGAATCAATGTATAATTCGTTTGAGCTTAATTCAATGGTTGTAAGTGACAAAAATATGCTGGTCTCAACACAAAAGTATCTTGTAGTGATTACTAGTATGTAAAGAATTGTGTTCAAAGAGATGCAGTAAGCAAAATCATGTTTTCGTAACATTTTGGCGAATGTTACTTATAAGAATGTATGTCACTGGTATATAGTGCACCCAATCGATAGCTGTTACCTTAACGTAGTGGACAAACTTGTATGCTCTAATGACCCAACGAGCTACACTGTCTGGAAGGTTTGTTGCTTGGGGTCCTGGCTTTTTTGAAAGCCCTGTTAGGTAGTTATACGACGGAAAGAAGTTATCGTTGTAGCGTAAAATTACTACACTATGATGGGGGTCTGAAGGTGAAGTGTGTGAGGTGACAGCAGTAAGACGTTTCGCTTGGATGACCAGGAGTGCCACACTGATACTGCCTTCCCAATCGGAAGAGGGAGGGGTTAGGAAACGTTGGTCCTAAAAATAACACTCATCCCTACCCTGAGGTATCCCCCAGCCAGTGGTATATATTTTTAAATGTCTAGCATTAGAACAATTAAATCGCAAACCAACAATCCTACAATGGCTGTAGTTATCGGATGTCAAGCAGATGTCCCATACACTCAGTCTTTACCCAGGTGTATACATTATCTTCTGAATACTTTACAGAAACAGCTTGTAACCAACCAGTTAGTCAACATAAAACATAGCACCAGACATTACTGCACAACGGTGATGTACTTACTCGCCATCCCTCTCAGTGAGAAAAACTGCCGTAAAACCTCCCGACTAACGGGGTCGAGGGCCGCCTTCAGGTCAAGGAAAATAGCTACTGTAGGTTGTCGATGAGTATCTATTGTCCCAGAACCTACTGGGGTGTGAATATCTGGTCGAAACTTGCCTGGTTTTCTGGGACTTGCTGTTCTCAAGCTCCATTCAGATGCCTCATGATAACAGAACCTAGAATCTTAGATACTATCATCAGGCAGATTCCCTTTTGGTTATCACAAGAGGACTTATCGCCTTTCCTGGAGACTGGGACAATCAATGGTTGAGACCAGTCAGAGGGAACCAACAACATTTGACTTTTACATACTAGTTAACACCAGTTAGTTTTATGAATAAATCTCTACCACTAACCGGAAATACTGCTGGTACTAGTCAGTCTGGGCCTGCTGCTCTTCATCGTTTCAGGTTACCTGCAACATTCTAGACTTCTGTAAGTGTTGAGTGTTTTATTTCGATGTTCTATTCTGGATCCGACTAGATAGCGGGCAACAGAATAGTAGCTCGAGGCGAGTTGGACTGTCCCTCTAAGTGTTCCGTTCGTCGTCGCAGTTGTCTCTCCTGCGAACTATTCCCCTCTATGGCCTCACTAACCACTGACCTTTTCGTTCCAGTTTCCTTAATAAGTCTATATAGCTGTCTACCTTTACCTAACACCACAGCACTTTCAATCTCATTATCCTTCACTACCCACCTCTGCTCGCCATCATTGGGTAGACATTTTGTCAGTGTACGTTTGCATTGGATTCGCTCCTCATTTTGCTTGGAGACTGTAGGGCTACGTTTGCGTGCATCCATCAGTTTAGAAGATGCTGCTGATATTCACTGGCTCATTTTAACCGCTCTCTGCGAGTCGGCTACGATCTTCAATGCTGTTTTAAAAGCAGACTGGAGATGGCATATAACCTTCTTCTGGGTGAGTGATGTTGCTCTGTTGCGATAACTGTTTAGCCAATTTCTCCCTGAAAGTGGTCTTAGTGCTCTCACTGTCGAGCTGCACTCACAACTGCTTTGTTGCTGTAGTTTTTCTTCGTCTATTTAGGCACAAACATACACGGGCTTCAGAAAGAGTCGTAATCTTCTACCGACCGTCTCCAGCGATGACTGATAGAAATATCTGTTCGTTCGGCTGGGATTCCGAAAGTGTCTATCTGTCTGACTCAGCCTACACACTTGTGGATTGGAATCAACTGCCACAACAACCATATCTGAGTGCTTGGCTTTCAGAAAGAGGCTAGACAGTTTTCATCCTTCACTTCATCTGCACTGCAGTCAGTGAGCTGCCTAGGCAGAGATCGCAAAGAGAAAACGGCGAGTCTGACTATTCTTTTTGTCCTCACTATGCTGGTCATTAAAAGAGCTCACAGCCGATTACCTACTTTCATTCGGATCCTATGCTGAATCGGACAGCAGGTATTTCTCACTAGGGCTCGGGAATCTCGAGGTATGGATTTATGTTGTGTTTCTGTGACACGTATACTGGACTTGAGTATGGTTATTCACTAGATTTCATCCAACCATTTCGGTGAATCTTCAAAACTCACATTACTGGTAATCGAAGACCTAGTGGGTAGCTGTCGTTTATTTCCTGATGTAGGCATGGGTTTGAGTTGCAGAACAGAAAGTGCGCCTCTCGAATGGATAACACTCAACAGTCGTCTGTGTGCTGTTCGTCTGAATGGATCTGTTAAAACTAGATTGGACCGTGAGACTTGCCAATGCCTTTCCGTAATCTCCGCTCACCCACCTACTGACTGTAGTTTTGATGATGCAAAGAATGAATCCCGTCAGCTGTCAAATTTGATTAATTCCGGTCAAATAGGGGTAAAAACTTATAATAATTGAATGGTTAACTTGACTACGTTTTATTAAAAAAGTTCCATGGAGTATAAAAGCATCTTATGATGGAAATAAGGTTAATGACGTAAAAATAGTTTATTAAGTACCTATTTTATATTATCTTCCAAATCTCTCGTAATCGCTATGCCAGAGCTTACATAACTGCTTGTGTAACAAGGGATTGACAGTCTGAATCGTGCTATTCCTTGTTTTATTCGGGTTGTCTTACTATATTCTACTAAATTAAACCGGATTAAGTGTTGTAATTTTTGAATCTTGAGATAATGAAGAATGTAGGTCAGGAGGAGGATTTTGAAGGTGTGTTCTCTGAGCTTGATAGTTTAACCATGGAGCTTTCATCTTCGTTCAAGAAAACATTATCAGTACAAAATTCAAAAAAAGTGAGCTATGGGGTTTTCTCCATAAGTGGCTTAGTAGCTCGTCCTGATATCCTTGTGTGTGTGTGACTGGTTGTTTCTGCCGAAGTCTAATCAATGTCTCCACATTTATATTGACGCGACCTTTGACCTTTCTGTTTTTTCTTATTGATTGATAGATTTGGTCAATGTCAGCATGTCTGTTGTTCGCTAACTACCTGAATGCCAAGCTTCTAACAATTCTCTAGCATTCTTTGTATTTCCTCTATCCAGGATTTCCACGTTTGCCCAGGAAGATTCGTGTCCACAGTTGTGCCCATGCCTTGATATAAGGGAAGATATGTCATGACGCTTCACTGCTAGTTGGTGTTCATGTAGACGGATACAAAGACGGCCGACTCCTAATCTTTGTTGTGTATCGTTACATTCTCCTTGTACACCCATTCTTTATGCATTTAAATGAAAGTTTGCACTAAACTCATTACTGTTCCGTCTTGAATTTACATCCGTCTCACTTAATATCTCTTCCAAACACTAAAAGAGACGATTACAGTACATGACCGAATGCATTTCTATCGTTCATATATATATATATATATTATATATATATTATATATATATATATATATATATATATATATATATAGTTTCATTGTTAAGCTTCAAAACCATTTTTTTTCGTACGCCTCACTATCTCATTAGTTTTCAATTTTATAATGGTTGATTATCATCAACTCTGTGATTATCTAGTTTTTGGTTAAACTACAGAATATATTTCCTATTTTGTTCCCCCTACAGGCATACCTCACGGAGATTTTGAAAGAGATTGCTATATTAACACTCATATCCCACATAAGAATATGTGGGAATTGAAACCGGAATACAGACATTATACGCAACCAGAGATGAAAACGGAATCCAACACAGTTCAAACCGTATAAATGCAATTCCATTTTTAAAAATGATTTTCTTTGCATCTTTTTTTTATTATCTCAATTCACTACATAAATTGCGTGGACTGAGTGGAACTATTCTGAAATCTTACTTAATATGGCACTACTGCTGGTAGATAAAAAAACACCATTTGAAATGATTACTTATATTATTGTCATTGTGCAACCTTTAAACAAACTATAAATTGAGAACAATCAAAATCAGTATCACATGATTGCTCTTGTAAAATATTTGCACTAATTACTGAACAAAATATTATGTGGATGGATTGCACTTTTACCCGGGGTTCAAGAAAATCCCGGTTCATTTGATTGCCTAGGAAAACGTGTACATGAATACAGCAAACGGGGAGCACAAAGCGATAAGTAGACCAATCATTCTCCGGCATACAGATGATGTAAAAGTTGTGGTCAATGCCTACAATTAGTTTTTCCTTGTGATCAACAATTCGGAAAAGCATGTATAATCTGAGGAGCAAATAATTTTTTTTTAATCATCGTCTGCCTAGACGAACCGAAGCCCCAAACGAACTGCGAGAACTCCCTACGTTCAATGGGTTTCCATGGTTGTCCAGAAGACCAGTCGCAGTGGCAGGTCTTGCGGGTGGCATCGCAGCGCTCAGGAGACTTCCTGTCGTTGTAGTCGCAGTGCATGATTGATCTAGGTCTTGTTCTTCAGTTTCGTGTTGGGAACTGTTGGTGATCCCAGGAACAGAGTAACTAACCAGTGCACCGCTAGCTGAGCCTGAACCACAATTTGCTTTCCTCATTGCAATTTCCAGAAGTTCTACATCACTCAAGTTTCGGCTGGCAACCGACAGCAGTGAAAGCATTTCTTCATGAATACGTGATTCTGGAAATTCCACCTGGTGAAAAATAAAGAATGACAAGGAAGTCGATCATAAGCGAAACCATAATTGCAGTCGAATGCTGCATCCAGATCAAGAAATGCAGTGTCGGAAGCCTGCGTTCCAGAACCTGATAAATTTACAACTAGGACTGAAAAACTGACTGACTTTCTCAACCTTGCTGTTCCCGAGTTCCACTTAGGTGTTTGGTGAGTATGCAACATAAAATCTTACACTGAATCCCCCATGGTTATCACAGTAGCATTTCTCGATGCCTGAGACAATCAGTGATTAAAACCGGTCAACGGAGATCATTTCTGATTCCTGTATGCTGAAATTATTACTTTTTCCCCCTGGGTTCTTAGTGGAACATAGGGTTTCAGTAAAACACCTCCATTTCACTCTCTTCTCTGCAGTCCTTCTAACCTGGCTCCACAACTACCTCATATGATCTCCTCCATGTCACCCTCGCCTCGAACACCCAACTCGTCGTTTCCCATTCGGGTTCCCTTCGAGGGCCTGGCCTGGTGCGTGATGTCCCCGAACGGTCGTCTCAGTGTATGTCCAATCCATCTCCATCTTCTTCTGCATATTTGTTGGGCAATAGGTTCTTGTTTGGTTCGTTGTCAGCCAGAGTTCCTCGTTGCTTATTCTTATTATTCTAGCCATCTGGTCTGCAGTATCGGTGAGCGTAGGCAGCTGTTGATGAATGTCTGTAGTTTGCTGGAAATGCTTTTTGCAACGCGCCAAGTCTCTAAACCATCACATAGAAACACTGACTTGACGTTGGTGTTGAAAATCCGGATCTAGTTCACGCTTTATGCTGAGTGCAGTAGATCTCCACACTGATTTCAGATTAGTGAAAGCCTGTCTTGCTGTCTTTCCGATCCTGGTTTTGACATCCTCGTCTGTGCCCGTGCCGCGTGTAGTTGAAACGATGCTGCCTGGGCAGGTAGATGAAAGAGACTGGTTCCTTTAGGTTTCTCCCGTTGATGGTGATCGGTGGTTGTTGTTGTTGGTTGGGTATCTTCATCACCTCCGTCTTCTCTATGTTCACTTGAAGTCCTGTCTTCGCTACCCTGCCTCTTCTGCCTATAGATCTTCGAGTTTGTGAGACAAGATATTAGACATAAATCATCATCGTTGGCAGCGGCGAAATCCAACTCTTCTTCTGGGGGTCTTTTCATCAGTCAAACAACGTATGGTCATCTTCTCGCTCCTCATAGTTTGCTGCACGACCCAGTTCAGTCCAGTTGACCACAATGAGGAAGACCATTGGTGATAGTACGCAGCAACCTTGTCTTACTCCTTCCTATCTTCACTTCAAAGGCGTCACATCTTACCATTGTGAATCGCCTGGCATGTAGCATCATATAGCATAGCAGATAGCTGTTGAATGAGGTTGATAAAGGTTTGTGACACTCAGTCGACGCTATCGAAGGCCTTTTCAAGGTCGATAAAGTTGACGAAGAGAGTTGACTGCCGTTCTGTGCTCCGTTCTATGTTGATACGCAGCGTTGCAATTTGATCCGCACATGATTTGTTTTTCCTGAAGCCAGCCAACCTGTTTCTGTCGTTATTTTGAATCCAGAGCACTTATTAGTCTCTCCAGGATGATGCGGGTTAATATTTTGCTTGTGGTGGGTGGGGACAGGGGCATGATTCCGCTCTAGTTCTTGCAAAGGCTTAGGTCTCCCTACTTTGGAAGTTTGAAGAGGTAGCCCTTCTTCTAATTTATCGACAGATACCTTCCCTTCCGAATCTTCTGCAACAGTGCATGTCCGCTGCGTCTGTTTCCAGTGCTTCTGGCGGAATTCCATCTGGTCCTGCTGTTTTCCCGAATCTCAGCAATTTCATGGCACTCAGGACTTTTGCTTTTGTTCGAGGGTTTGTGTTCACTGATAGTTCTGTGGCTGGGTTCCTAGTGGTATTTCTGGACGAGTTGCAGTTGGTGGTCGATTCAAAGCTTTTTGAAGAGGTCAGCCCTTTGTTTCTCCTCTTTGGTAACTTCACCTCCTTCACTATCTTTCATTAGTTTCGTCTGCGTTGATCTCTTCCCGGATACCAACCTGGTTATTCGATATAATGTTGTTAGGTCTCTCCTATCAGCGGCCTGTTCTACTTCACTTGCCAATGTGTCGTAGAAGTGTCTTTTGTCTTTCTATGCACACTTTTTTGTCCAGTGTTTTATAGGTTGTATTCAGTTCCTCTTTTCGTTGTTCATCCCTGCACTGCACTGGTTCATCTTCTGCTTCACCATCTTCCTCTCCCTCCTCTATCAACTTCTATGTGTCCGTCGAGATCCATTCCTTGTCTTCTTTCGTCTTCCTTCCTAGTACGGCTATGCAGGTTTCTTTACACATCTCTTTCAAAGAGTTTCAGTGTTCTTCCACGCAGGTTTTCCTCGGGGATGTTGTCTACTGTCTGCCATTTTGTTCTGATGACTGACGTGTAGATGTCCTTTGTAGTTTCGCCCTTCGGTTTCTGTTCTGGGTGTTGAATTTGAACTGTAGTCTATCACCAACTTCTTTGAAGACTTTCAACTTGATTTGGAAGGTTCCTAATTTTGCACCACATGGTGAGTGGTGTGAACCTACACCTGCTCCTCTTCTTGATCTGACCTTGTGTCCAGTAGACTGCCTCTCCACTTTCTTCACATTGACATGAAGTCGATCTGATTTCTAGTGTCCTGATGTCTGGTAAAATCCATGTCGCTGCCTTGTGAATATCTTGTGTTTTTACATACTGCCTGACTCCAATCACCAAATCGTTGGGTGCGCAGAAATCTGCAAACAGTTCTCCGTTCTCATTCCTCATTTCACCGAGTGCTTCTCGACCAATGATGAGTTCCCTTTCTATGCTGTCCACGTCGAGTTTGGCATTCATTTCGCCAACTGGCGTCTTGTCTATTACTTATTGCAGTTGTCTGTAGAATTCCTCCTTTTTCTTTCGGTCTGCATTATTTGTAGGTGCGTAGGATTGTATAAATTTGACTTTACTTCCTTTTGATTTGAATATTGCTGTCATAATGCTGGAGGAGACTGGTTCCTTCGATGTTCTTAGAGACCGTGATAGTCACTCCCTCCGTATGCTCATGGTTGTCGTCTGGGTTACCGGAGTAGATTAGATGACAGTTTGGAAAGTCCACTTCCATTCCTTCTGCTTTCGCAGATTCCAAGGACTTTCAAGCCATACCTCCTCATCTCTTTTGCAATCTGGACAGGCCTGCTAGGTTCAAACATTGTACGGACATTCCATGTCTCCATGTTTACTTTCGCTTTCATCGAAAGAAGACACATCGGCCAACTGGCTTCCCGAAGGCCTTCATCAACTGGCGTCTTATTGCCTCTCCGATTCCAGCGAGAAATAAGTTTGTTTTTATTTTTTATATTTTGTTTGTTCTTTGAAGTTTCTTTAGCGATTGGATTGGTTTGACGGGGTAAGGTTGCTGGCCCTGTGCCCACCCAACCTTCCCTCTGTACCCAGGCTTAGGACTGGCCAGTAACTAATGAACTATTTAACCAGGCGAGGTTTCCTGAATGCTAGCTAACACTTCATTTAATCCAACCAATAATCATCGACCTCCACCTTTAAATATCTCTAGTGCAAGGCTGTCTGCACCTGCTACTCTTCTTCTTTTCAGGTTACTTACAACATTCCCAACTTCGGTAAAGGTTGCAGACACATGTTCCGCCTAGTATCTTACTGGTAAGATAGCGGCGTAACAGCTGTAGAGCAGCTGAAGTGTTCCACCCATGTCTTCAGTTGTTTCTCTTGTGAGTCAACAGTAGGCTCATCCTTCTCCCCCATAATCTCATTAACCATTGGACACTTTACCGACTAGCTGCTCTCTGAATAGTCCCGCAGCTGTAGTCTCTAATATCCACAGATATACGCGTGCATGAACTAACGCAAGGTCACTATCCGAACATGCTCTGCAGTTACCGATGGTGTGCAACGGTAATTTCTAGCAGGATGGTCAACATGCGCCCACCTTGCAGTCGGAAGACAACACATCAAACATTTCTCTTGACGCCTCAAGTTCGTGCTGGGTAGAAATAAGTGGTTGTCTGCCTGACCTGTGCGCATTAAAATCACCTGCTACGACAACCACGTGTGAGCGCTTGGCTTGCAGTTACAGGCTAAATAGTTTTCACTAGAACTCATCCTTCACTTTGGCTGATCTGCAGACAGTGGATGCGTAGGCAGAGATGCAACAAACAGTTTCACTGTTCTTTTTGTTCTTACTACCATTCTTCCTACCATTCAGTGCACATTTGACTACTGACTGGGATCCAATCATGCAGTGCAATTTTCGCCTAAGGGTTCTGTTTTAGATGCAAGATAACGAGAACTAGTCATCGAATCTACAAAATTACCTGCAATTTCTACTTCATACTATCCCACCTGGTGTCCGAAACATTACTATGGCCTGTTCATAATATTACGTCACTCTCTGAAAGTATCGTTCATGGCTCCAATCATTGACCTGGGAAACCGGATAGTAATGTAGATACTCATACAATGGGTGTAGCACATAAACATGTATCTGAGTGATTTGCATCCCACTATGGAGTCATTCGTTGTTTATCTGAGCCGTCCGAATACGTTTTCCAACTAACTTAGAATGTAAAATATCAAACAGTAGAAGACCCAGATGCTAAGCTTCCAATCTGACCGCAGTAGTGCGGGAAAGCATATTTTTTTCATTGCTGGTGGTAAAGCTACTATTTAGTTCTGGTAGAAGTAGAAGTAAGCAAACAAGTAAAGGTTATTATTATATACATTGAGGTTGTCTAATTTATTCACTAACGTCAGTCATGCCACATACAGCTTACATAGCGACATCCCGGTTACTGTTAGCGTTGAAAGTCAGAAATCTTCAAGGAAATGTAAGCTGAACTAGAGCCATCTTGTACAAACACATCAAGCTGAAGTCATTGCTTCTATAAAGCCTAGAAATTTAATGTTAACCACATGGAAAACAGTATTTAGAATCTACAGCATGACGTATGTCAATACGATGTCTGTCTGTGGCACTAATACGCACAAATAAACAGCAGTTAAGTCTCGTAGAGAAAAAGGTACTAAGCTGGAAGACAAAAATGACAAAGGAGAGTCGGTCAGAAGCAGAAGAAGGTTGTACAAGAAAGGAAGGAGGAATAAGAAAGTACTATATTCAGTTCAACGACTATGTTGGGAATAGTGTGTGTGTGTGTGTGGGGGGGGGGGATGAATGCGTGACCCAGTGAGAGCATACTGACATGGTGACGTAGGTCATTCGACTGTCGGCTGCACCAAGGCGTTTGAACATGGTGAGTTAAGGGCACCAGGGGATATCTGTTTTCTGAAACGTGTGTCTGGGAGATGAAAATCTGGCAGACGCGTTCTCGCTGAGGTCTGAGACCTGTTTGATTCTCTTGAAATTAATGTCTTTTAACCCCAATTAGATGTCGGACAACTACAAATCGTAGTAACTTAGATTTTTTTCTTTACAAAATAACGACTGGGTACTCTACGATTTTGATGACTCTGTAAGACTGAGCGGAGCTAGAGAACACCAAAGCCGATGAATCTAGTTCCACTTCAGACATCGTCGTGAGTGTTTTGACCACGTATTCCCATTCTAACAGATTCTGAGTCACCCACTAACGAACGACCATACTTGCATTCATCATTCGAGAGGCGGAATCCGACTACATCGATGCAGAGGACTTCTTGCAGTGTCTATTACTGAAACGGGTACGGAGTAAGTACATCACCTTATTGAAGGCTCTTCACTCAAACATCTGTGATTGTGTTAAAGTCTATAATATGTCGGGTGAACTGTGTACCTCGAGTGGTGTCCGTCAATGATACCTACTCTCTCCATTCTTATTCAATTTTATCATAGACGTACTTATACAGGTTTCCCTCTCTTCATCTGACTACACAGGGATGACCTCATTACAGGAGAATATTTAGTAGACCTAGAATACTCAGATGAGAGAGTTCTGTTAGGTGAGGATGCTGACAATATGCAGTCTTCTGGACACCTTTAGTGCCAATTTGAGAGTGTTTCGGATGCCATCCAAATGTAAATTGTTGCTCCACAACTGGTCGTATCTGGTTCAACACTAGGGAGTGAAGTGGTTGAGTGAGTGGAACACTTCACTTACCTGAGAAGTTGGATCAGCCCTGGTGGGTCAGTGGCCGACAAATCTCGCCATGGATACAAGACCCTCAACTGGCTTGGAACAACTTACCGCATCTATGGCGCCGCCGCGAAATCCGATTACCTATTAAGGGTCGAGTGTACTGCGCTGCAGTCTGCTCTGTTCTTCGGTAAGACTGTGAAACATGGTCATTAAAGGTAGAAAACATAAGGCTTCACGTGTTTAACCACCGTTGCCTTCGTAGGACGATAGGCTGTGTGTCTTGTTCTCACCATGTTAGTAAGGCAGGAGTTAGGTGTAGAGTTTTAGGGAGGAAAGGTAAGTCAGTAGGTGAAATTGTGAACCTTCATCGACTGAGGTGCCTGGGAGATACGTTAGGCAGGCTCAGTCACCGTCTGCCTCATTGCCGAAAGTTGGTTGAATTAGGTTCAGATTGGAAAAAAGCTCGGGGATGCCAGACCAAAATATGGCATCACTACGTGAATTCCTTGACTTTTAGTTTCAGCCATGTAAGTAGATGCAGACTGGCGGGCTCGGACAGACCTCACAACATAAACCGGTGGTTGGTGACTCTAGATGATGCTTCAGAATTGATGTCGTCGGCGATGTATCCACGTTGAATTTGCTCCTCATTTTGCTCGGAGCCTACAGGCATGCGTTCACATACATCCATTAATTCAGAAGATGCTGCTGATATCAACTGGTTCATTTTAACCGCTCTTTACGAGTCAGCTACAGTCTTCAATGCTGCTTTTACAACAGACTTGAGATGGCATATAAACTTCTTCTGGATGAGTGATAGTGCTCTGTCTCGATAACTGCCTTGTCCGTTTGGCACTGAAAGTGGCCTTAGTGCTCTCACTGTCGAGTTGCACTCGTAACTGTCCTGTTGCTAAGATTTTTCTACGTCCATTGAGACTCATACAAGCGCTCGAATCACTATGCCGTTCAGCCGGAAAGTGCATATGGTATGCAGTCTGGTAGTGAGCTTTTTGCCCAAGTGCTTCATGTTATGCCCACACCTCCAAGACCGCCAGAACTAACCATCGAATCTCCAGAAACTCGAAGTGTGAATTTCATGGATTCACCATTTTGTCCGGGTGAGGTTAAGTGAATAACTGCTTTCAGGTCTTATATGCATGTCTCACAAACACAGCACATATCCATGGTCCGAGTCGTCAGAGTTTTGGTCAGTGAAGCTTGTTGGCCAATTCGACGGAGGGTGTGGACATTGAAGGCTCCAATGAGTACTTTGGAGTGTAATTTAAGGTGATCAAGGATGCTGTTCTGTTGACTCAGATCGTTGTCGGAAGCTGTGGCGCTAGAAGAAATTAAAAATGATGGAGGATTGTTAACTGAGAGACGTGGATGAAGATTAGAAGGCAAAGATTAGCCTCGCTGTTGATGTCTGCTGCATCTCAGAGACCTGCATACGATATCCCAGTGAAGGGGTTCGAATTATTTCCCTCATCTGTCAGCTCGAAAAGTATTTTTCATGCGCGGTTATCTTGGCACTTTGTGGCATCGGGAAGCGGCCTCGTTGGTGTCGGTGTCGCTCCAAGTGCTCGAGAAGGAGCTACACTGTTCGAATGCATCTTCATCAACAGTTGTCAGGCTAAAAGGTCCAACTCAATTAACAAGTAATCGGCAAGAGAAACAAAGGATGAATTCTTTCATCAACGGAGTGACCTTTTCAACCAAACGCGCTCGACTTTTATAGTAGTGCTAGCTGGGGACTTGAATGAGCAGGTCGGGGTCTAGACTCAGAGGAGTCGTCTAGGTGGCCACTGGGGACTGGTTGACCGCAGATCGGATAGTGGGGAACGTCTTCTGCAGCTTTACCCAGATCACAACTTATCTCTAGCTAGCACCAACCTACTTGATGTCCTCCCTCTCCCACTCAAGCATGGACTTAAACAGATCGTATGGCAATCAGCCACCGATGGTGTGGGCATTTAAAGGACTGCCACTCCATATGGGGTACTTATCTGGACCCTGATCATTGTATGCCAAGCTCGTTTTAGTGGTCATCGAAATCGTCGTCCTAAACAGGTCGATGTAGGCAAATTAGTTGCACCTAACACCCCAGCTAAATGCCACTTCGAGCTAGATTCAAGGCTGGCTACCGATTTACCAGTGTTGAGGAGCATCTTGAAAGCCATATATAATAACACCTCAGGTAGAGTCAGACCATATATTTACCTGTCTCCATTGTTCCAAACCAGCAGTAGGGTTGGGTAGGTTTGCCAAATTTCTGTATTTCTCGTTAACTTTACCATCGATCGCACTCTTGAAACAGCGCTGTAGCAGGTGCGTGATGGTGATGTAGATTGAATACCCAGAGAACGGCTATTCGACGATATCGTCTTATTGTGCGAAAACACTGTGATGTTTCTTATTTTGACGCCCGACAGGGATGAGATAAAATAGTCCGGCGAACGAAAAGTTTTGTACAAATTTTTCCCTCTAATAGAGCGAGAACAACAACTTTAGCAGAACAGAATGGATCCGCTTTGTTTCGTGGTCTCTCATCAGCTGAAGTGTTCTACGAGAAACTACATGAGTCTATTATTGTCTTTACATACATACTCCTAAAGAATACCAAGTTTCCAACCCACTATGAGACAAAAGACTACATAACAAAATATATTTCTTGCAAATCAACATATTTTAGGTACTATGCTATGATTCACACTAGTGAGGGTCCATGCTACTACCCGGTTCCTAAGGTCGAAGCGGAGTGAGGTTCGACAAAAGATCCACTACTTGAAAGTCGAGTGCTTAAGCCATGAGCCACTGTCCTATCGCAAAACACTAGGTCGTTATATGTAAGTCACGGGAGTTCTAAGGTCTTGGATAATCCTTACTCTGGTTTATGAAAACCAATTATCCGCCATAAGCCTTATATATGCTAGCTCAATGTCACAAATCTTTACATTACACTTCATGAATAATTTTTCAACTCACTTTTATGAGACGCTTCTCTGAGGAGTAGTGGATGGCGATACAATCTATGCTTCTTAAACGGTGACCGCGACAGTAATAACTCCATTCACAGATTTCATTTTGTTCGCTCTTGTCTCGAACATCCTTCACAAACAAAACCGTAGCAGGAAACATTAGAGCATATTTTTCCAGACATTCGATGTTGCGCAGAAGATTATCATGTGAGTTACTACACATAACAGTGGATAAATTAAATTTGGAATTATCGAAATAATAATATAAAAACACGAATATTGTGCTATATAAAATGACTGAGATTGTAATTTATTCAAATATGTTTTGTTATAAAACTTAAAATGCTGAATACTGCGCACCAAGTACATCGTAAAATGTCCAGAATAAAGAATTATTTTTTTGATTATTAGAACTTAGTTATTCACAAAGCAAGGTAGTAGAACCATGGCAAATATTTAGGCAAGGACCTTTCGTATCACATCCCGACTAGCGATATATGTTAAATATTATGTTCAGTAACTCTTAAAATTGTCAAATGTCTCGGCTGAGGTTTGGACACTAAATAACTGACACGTTGTAGATGAAAGAGCTATCACCAAAGCGTTACTTTTTATTTCTTTCAGTTGAGCTACGGATGCTACAGACGACAAAAGAAGCTTGTTCAGATGTCTGCGCGTTAAACAAGTCGTTAATACGTCGACAAGCTGATTTCACCTTTCCTAATGTCCAAAGTCAAATGGGCAGCTGCTTTCTAGGCTTTAATACCACATGATGTATTTAAACGTCTAAAATCCTTGAATCCATGCCAAAGCTTAGGTCCTGATAATGTTTCCAGTATTATATTTAGAAAATGTTCAGATATTTTATCTCATCCCCTTACAGATATCTTTAATGCATCTTTTTCCAAAAACATACCCACTGCTTGGAAGGAGATCAAAATCGTACCTGTGCCTAAGTCATCTTCTGGGTCAGATGTTACGTTTCGAGCCATCGCTACTAACTCCCCTTTTCTGAAGACAGTGGAGAAACTACTTCTCCTTTTAATTGAGCCTTCATTGATGGTTTTCCGAGATCCAAAGCAGTTTGCTTACAAACACAGGAGAAGTACTTCAGATGCTGCTACTGTCTTGCATCATAATTTTGTCTCTAGTCTCGAAAAAGATGTTAAGTATGTTCGTTGTGCCATTTTGGACTACTTATCAGCCTTTGACTCTGTTCCTAGACCACTGTTGTTAAATAAGCTTGTCATAGCTCATACTGAGCCATGGGTTACAAAATGGCTGTATTCTTATTTTTCTGGAAGGGAAGCGCTCGACTTCATTGCTTACTGAAGCTGGTGTGCCCTGAGGCGTAGTACCTTCTCCGTTTCTGCTCTCCTTTTTATATGATTTATCTTATTCTGTTGAAACTAATTTTGTTAAGTATGCTGATGACCTGCCCGGTGTCTTTTCCAGTCAACTCTCACTTAGATTGCTTTAAATTAAATGGATTCTTGTCTGTAGTTGGCCAGTGGTCTCTCTCAAATGGTCTCAAGTTAAACCCTTTTAAATGTCAAACTGTTAATTTTAGCCTCAGGCGTAAACAAGACTTGTGTGAGCTGCTTAAATCTCATGACGCCTGTTGCATTGATGGTATTTCTGTAGTAAGTAAATCGAGTATTAACTATCTTGAGTTGATTTTTGTTGGTCGTCTCATATCTTGTTGACTCGTAAAAAATCTTTCGTTTAACTCATTACATAAGGAAATTGAGGCTGTCTGACATGATCCAACTTTTACTTTTACAGTTTATAAATTCCTACATTTTACCTGTTCCTCTTTATTGTCCCCCACCGATTTTTCTTGGTCTATTAAAAAGAGACTATCCCATATTGTGTAGGGCTTTGAAAGCCGTTAGTAGAGTGTGCCCCTGGTCCAACTGATTAACACTGTAGTTAATAGACATTTAAATTCCAGCAAGCAACTAGCTACAGAAATTTTAACTGACACTGAGCATCCACTTCATTCACAGCAATCTCCATCAGGAAGGACAAGAAGAAACTACATATGAGTGTACGCTCGTACAGCTAAGTATAAGAATTCGACTGTACCTTACCTAGCACGCATTTTGTGTAAGGAAAAAAGTGTTCGAACAGAAATCACACATCAACTTTGTAACAGTTAAAAATCTCATTTCAATAATTTAAGTAACAATGTGGAAATCTCGTTTTTAATATCCTTTACATTACTTGAATTTTTATAATAACACAAGTCGAAATGTTGTAAAGGAGTATGTATATACTTATATTTTGTTGTTGTTGCAATATATCATGCTGAGAATTCCAAATTGTTTGGAAAAAAGTGATTATTATTATAAATACTGTATTCACCCAAAAACCTTGGCAACTACAAAGTTGATTTTAGGCTAGAATTCATCATGGACTGACATCAGTTAGAGGGAAAATGGAAATCTGGGGCACTGGACAGCTGTGTCGTCCTAGTATCGGACTCCTCATCAGTGCACACCCATGACCCCGCACTGCTGAGGAGTCTGATACTAGGACGAGACAGTTGTTCAGTGCCCCCAGATTTCCAATTTCCCTCTAACTGATGTCAGTCCATGATGAATTCCAACCTAAAATCAATTAATAAACTTCCACAAATCTCCGGATAGAATCATAAAGTGTCCTCTACAAAAATAGCCAAACTACGGTCGGTATGAATTTGACGAATCCATGTGTCAATATCAAATGTACCTTATGGGAGATAGTATGGATTGCGAGGGCATTTTGCTATGCTTCTCGACTGTTGTGCACACGGTTCTTAAGTTAAGACTGCAACACACAAAAATGACAAAGTTAAAGTTCCAGTCCATAAATAGTATATTCGGTTGGTCTAATCACTAGGCATAGGTTATCGAACCAGCTGTAACAGAGAATATCTCGAAATATTTTTATTTCAAGAGCAATGAAACTAATAAGTGAACAGGAATAAATACAGAGACCATACTACAAAAATTGTGTCATATTAAGTAGTGCTTGAATTTCTCATCGAAGGCTTTTGAATTTACATGTGTCTAGAGGAAATTATCTAAAGAGTGTATACCTATTATTGATCAATCAAAAAAACGTTTCAATTCATTCAATGTACTAAATCTAAAATATTCACTTGGCCTTCTGCATTACAATAATAACATAACTACAAAACCATTTTCTATAGCAGTTTCACTATAAGCAAAAGGTATTCAAAAATAAAACTTAGCATGTCACCAGTTGGTAGTTTGGTTACATGTTATATTACTTACCTTGTGTATGAGAATACATTATTATATCGGTTCATGGTAAGTTTCACTACAGGCTAGAAAAAAGAGAGAAGCACTGACCATAAGTCTGAAAATGATAAGGTAAATATAATAGAATGCTGGCATACACTGTTCACAAAAGTGTATCCTCAAAAGAATTGTACAGAAATAAGATAATGTGCCGCTTATAGATAGCAGTGATATTGCAACTATGGCATTCATCGGTATAAACATTAGTGTAAAGACGTGCATCCTCACATCGCTATTCTAAAGATATTATAAATAACTTTGAAGGTATCCTGACCAACAATGGACTAGATGGTTTGAAAAAATTGGGCACAGAACTAGTATGATTCATCGTATAAGGTGCATTTTTTATTTTTGCGATCCCGGCGTAGTATATTAGAACAAATAACAAAATAAACAAGTATTTTGTACTACGCCGGATTGCACAAGTAAAAACACACCTTTATACGATGATTTATAAATAACTGTTCTTCACATAACTATGCAAGGCGTGGCAAAAAGTGACTCTATGCATGACTGTATCATAGTAGTGACAGTAGTGATCCTCAATCTTTAGATAAGAAGTCAGCAATAAAAACAGAACTATTTATAAAACAACAAACATCATATGGGATTTAAGTTACGTGTCAGAAATTATAACTTACGCATTACAGTTGGTCCCACAAAAACTATAGATTGGATATGAAAAGTTCCATAAAGAGACACACAGTACATGCAACATAAACTAACGGGTCTTGGTCACTACATATTTCAGTTAAGAGGTTAGTTGCAGAATTTGACTTTGAACGCTTCAAGTCCAACGTGAACTAGGTAACACGATCTTAAGAAGCTATGTCGTAAACTAGTTGTTAAAATCACTTGCCGAAACAACAGCTGAAGACACTGGGATGATGATAGTACAAGTGTCGACAAGAGAAGATAAATATAGTGGGAGTATGTTAACAGTAAACAGAAAGGATCATTTTTCTGCTAGAAATATGTCAGTAACTAGTACCCTCTGCTTGATTTCTAGGCAGTAGGTACTTTTAAGTACCTCCAAAAAAACCGATGATTTGTTTATTTTGATCACACATTGCCGAAGAAATGCAAAATTGTGTTTGTTTGCAATCACTTTAAATCCAGCCATATATTTTTAAAAAATAATAATGGCTTTTTTCTGAAGATATTTCGAGAAAACTACAAAAAGATCGGGATGTCATATGGCATCAACTAGACAGAAACAGTGTATACATATGTGTAATAAAATGAAATATGTAGAAATTACATACAAAAGACAAGAACATTTACTCCACCTACAAATTTCTCGAAAATGTAGAGTTAACTTAAGTGAAAGGTCATATGAGCAGAGATTTATAATACTTAAATAACAGCAAGCTGTGTAATAGTTAATTAGTTTGCTTTCAAAAAAGGAAGTTTATTGAATAGTTCACTTCTAACACTTTCTTCCCCACATAGGATACGAGTTAAATACACTACTGTGATTAGAGTGAGTGCACCGGCTCAAGTTGCCACACTTCACAGTAGTACAAAAAGAACAGGTTGATAGAAAAAGAGTGATATCAAAGTAAACAAAGTTGTGTGACAGAATAAATAATCTCAAGATAACGGTTAGTCCGAATATCCAAACTTTATAAAACGTCAAGGAGTGAATACATCTGCCCCATTGTAACTGATTTTCACCCATATCGCCAAGAGTCTTCAACCACTGATTCCTTTAATCTTGAAGACCCTAACCAAACGATCTACATCTCTTTACACGGCTCAGACCAGCAGTAAGACACTTCATCGACTGATGCCAGGTCTAGTCACTCTGAACCGTCTTCCAACCTACCTAATTCAACTTCCCCTAGTATGGCACATCGAGGTAGGCGGTGGCTCACCATGAGCAGTCGAGTAAGGTTTACATCATCAATCAACCTGCCTTCCTTGTCTAGTGCCCTTCGCCTGATCTCAACATTGCTCACACGGTGATTCCGGCACACGCAACTAATGCTGCGGAGACATCTGTGATCGAAAGCCTCCAACCTCTTCATATCTTCTACCTTTAACGGCCATGTCTCATACCCCATACCACAGGACAGAACGGATTGAGGCGCAGTACACTCGTTCCGAATGATAGCTGGTATCTTGAAGTGGAGGCCGGGTTTCTACACCACGATGATCTAACGAGCTATGGTGGTGAAAAGCTTGTTCCCTCGAAGTCCTGCGATACCAGAAAGGTCTGTTGGATAGCGATGAGACAAAAAGCAGTTACTCTTAACATATTATGAAACAAACAGAGGATGCGTTATGGTGGCTTAGATCAGTTATCAGAGGTTAGTATTGATCCGAAAGCACAGGACATATGTCCGACTACATCTTTACTACTACAGCCGAAATGTCGTGGCACTAAAAAGGTCGCAAGTGAACTACCTCAGGAAGATATTCCCTGAGCTCTACGGTCATGCACTAACCCTTCTTTTTCAGGTACCTTAAGAGATAGCCTCTCACAGGACGGGCAGTATATAAATGACTGTCTTAGTACAAGGTGTACAATATTTGATGACTACTGTACAAGATGTCACTGATAAACATTCCCCCACTTCGTTTCCCTCTTGTCATTTTCTACATTACCACGTGAGTAACGTAGAAACCAAAAGTAGGGTTTTACGGAGGATAGGTAAGTCAGTTGACGAGGTTGTGAACCTTCATCTACTGAGATGACTAGCCTAGCCACGGTCTTCCTTGACGCACACTGTTGGCCGAAGTAGGTTAGGGCTGGAGAAAGGCCCGAGGTGGCCAAACTAAAACATGGCAACAATGTATGAAGTCTTTGACTGTTGGTTTGAGCCATGTAGAGCGATGCAGACTAGGTGGTTGGGGTCCACGGGACAACAGGAACCAGTGGTTGGAGACTCTAGGTGATATGGCTCAGAACCTATATCGGTGACGTAGATGTATCCACACATTATCCTCATCTTAACGACGCTATACCGAATCTCACCATTTTCTCATTTTTCCTTTCTCTTTTTTCGTACTTTATATCTCTTTTGACTGAATGTTCTTTTCTTCATCTTCCACCACTGCCTTTTTATTTGACGTACTGATATGAGGTGTGATAACTCGGACAGTTACGCAGTAATGTTTGGTTCTATGTTAATTTCGATGTTGATGACGATACTCATCCTTTCATAGATAATAGAACATCTCGCCGGTACCACAGATGCCGTAATTTAGCAAGTGCCACACAAACCTTCTGTATCCGAGCATTATCACTCAGCCCGTTCGGAGTGATGCAACTCCCAGGTATGTGAAGTAGTCGGCATTTTCACCACTTCACTCCTTGTCATTTAACTGAGAGTGGTTGCATGCCAGTCCTGGAACATTCTCCCATATTTCATAAGTGCAAAACTCATGCAAAATAAACTCAGATTTCTGCTAAACGCGTTCAAACTAATTCCCTATGGTCGTCACCGGAAGATTCCTCCCCCTTCTTACAGACTACGATGATCGATGAAGTACACCAGTCTGACACACCATCTCTGATTTCCATACACTACCCACTACTACCGCCACTCTAATTACCAATTTCTCACCTCCATCCTTGAAAACTTCGGGTTACAAACTACCAGGTCCTGCTGCTTTGCTTCGTGTCACGTTTCATACAGCTTTCTTAACTTCGAGAGCTGGAGGATCGACATCTACGTTCCATTCAGGTTCACGCTGGATGTCCCGGCAACTGAAGCGTTGCTGACAGTCAGTCGAACTGTGCTGCGAAATGTTCTCCCCAACGTTCCAGGCCACTTGTCCTGAGAGGTTATAAGCGTACCATTCTTTGCGATGATGGCTTCGCTCACCATCATCTTCTCCTTGCCAGTATCCTCTTTAATAAGCTTAAATAGTTGCCGAGTATTATCCAACGCTGACGCCTCGATCTCTCTTGCTTTCTCCAACCACCGCTGCTTGCGACTATTGCGACGACTCTTACTCAATTTATATGAGTTGCTTTCGCCCATCATTGTAGTCAGAACCAGCTGGAAACAGTGTTATCGCATCAATCAGTTCAGATGATATCGCGGAAATTCAATGAAGTTTGCTAACCTTCAGAAGTAGGTTACTAACTGTCTTTACCGCTGTTTCTACAGCAGACTTAATATCACACCAGTTTTCTGCAGGATGGACATTCATGTCTTGTTCCGATAAGTGCTATGATAACTCCTCTCCAAATGAGCCCTTGGCGTCCTCATCTACCAATCGAGCACAAATGAGCCTCACTACTACCTACTGTTTCCTGCAGTCAGTAAGGCGCAGACATATACGAGTCTGTAATAAAGCGTGATCGGAGTCCAAAATGGTACTCCAGAAAGAGAGGCACTCCTCCACCGAACCTCTTCAACAATGGCTAACAGCAATATGATCTGTGTCCAACGTTGGTTTAAAGACAGAGAACGCCATGCAAGACAGTGTCTCCCCTCATGCTTAAAGTTAGTGCAGGCCAGGAACAAGTGATTGTCACAACAAAACCGCAAGAGATGATCACTGCTGCCTGTTCGTTGACATGGGATTTCGTAGATGACTCCAACATGTCTTTTCGACTGGCTCAACTTCCTTACTTGAGCATTAAAGTCACTTGCCATTATGACTACATCTGAACGTTTTGTATTTCGTAGCAAAACTGACAGCTTCTTATAGAATTCATCCCTTGCATCATATGAACTACAGTCGGTGGATGCGTAGGCGGAGATTACGAATAGGACTCGCCTAGTCTCATGATCTTTTCTTGTCCTTAAACAACCATTCAGTCGAACAGCAGATAGACAGCTGTTGACTGGTATCCAATCAAAAAGCGCGCTTTTTACCCTACAACTCATGCTATGACTACAACAGCGAGTACACAAGAGTGAGTCTCTGGGTCTCCGGATACTCACAAAGATTTGCGACTATGGCCAGGTGAGGTTAATTTAATAACCACACTCGGGTCATGTATACGATACGTGTCTCAGAGACAACATACATCCACAGATAGAGACCCAATGTTTTTGGCAAGGGATGCTTGCTATCTAATTTTGCATAAGAGTTCGGACTTTGAAAGCGTCTACGTGAAATCGACGGTGGGGTCTTAGGAAACTAGGAATGAAGTTTGATCGTTTACAGTGGTTTCAGAGTAAGAGGTTGTGGGGGGTGAGAGGTTTACTATTAATATCAGGGGGTGAAGGTAAAGAGGGAGACAGAGTTGAGGGCAATAGGTCATGTTTGATTGGGTCTTGTGTACTACTGGAAGCGTGCAGGCAGTTGACTCTCCGGCTGGGTATGCAGTGAAATGCTATTTTTTCTCAAGATACCTAAAAGAGAAAAAGTTTTGTGACCGTAGAGCTCATGGAACATCTCCTGGAGGCCTGTCACTCATGGTCTTTAGCGAGTTATTGTTCTGAAGTTTGATCCTTCTAACGCAGATAGAGAAAACCCATACTGCGGGCACCGGAAGAATGTGGAACAGGTGGAACGTGTTACTTTTGAGACCGACTTTTCACAAGCCCCCCTCCTGTTGGGACGATGGCATCAGCATGGCACTGCTGGCTACCCAAGAGAAACACCTTGCTGCTGTTACACCCCTTCCAGCTAGCAGCAGTACGAATTCGCCCTCAGGCACACACCATAGTGTATATGTTTGGCAAGCGTTTTGGACCTTTCCAAGATGACGCTTCTTCAGGACTGCTTTAACGCAAGTACTCCTAATATGATGATAGGGAGTGAAGTGGTGCAGTGTGCCGATCACTTCACTTACTTGGTTGCATCAGCCCGAACAGGGTGGTTGATAATAAAACCTCAGCTCCGATACAGAAGCCCGTGTGGCAATCGCCAACTTGCACCATCTGTGGCTCCGGCGAGATATCCGACTATCTATCAAAAGACGAGCATGCCGAGCTTCAGTCAGTTCTTTCCTGTTGTACGGCTATGAGAAATGCCCGTTAAAGTAAGAAAACATGGAGCGATTACAGGGTTTGATCACCGCAGCATCAGTTGCGTGTGCCGGAATCACCGTGTGAGCAATGTTGAGATCAGGCGAAGGGCACTAGACAAGGAAGGCAGGTTGATTGATGATGTAAACCTTACTCGACTGCTCATGGTGAGCCACCGCCTACCTCGATGTGCCATACTAGGGGAAGTTGGATTAGGTAGGTTGGAAGACGGTTCAGAGTGACCTAGACCTGGCATCAGTCGATGAAGTGTCTTACTGCTGGTCTGAGCCGTGTAAAGAGATGTAGATCGTTTGGTTAGGGTCTTCAAGATTAAAGGAATCAGTGGTTGAAGACTCTTGGCGATATGGGTGAAAATCAGTTACAATGGGGCAGATGTATTCACTCCTTGACGTTTTATAAAGTTTGGATATTCGGACTAACCGTTATCTTGAGATTATTTATTCTGTCACACAACTTTGTTTACTTTGATATCACTCTTTTTCTATCAACCTGTTCTTTTTGTACTACTGTGAAGTGTGACATATTGGGCTGATGTGCCCCTGTGCGAGTTTCTACGTTGATTTAGTCAGCCAGTTAGTTAATAAGTGTAATAATTCACACTACGATGGTAACTACTTTTCATCTTACCACTATTCAACAGAACTTTCTGGTATGGTAGAACCTCGACGGAACAAGCGTTTCACCAGCATAGATCATTGTGATATGCAAGTCCGACCATCACGTCAAGGTAGCAGGTACCAGTCGGGACAGTTTTATTTTTAATAGTACGTGCATGAAGTCTTATATACTTGCTCCTAGTCTTGTCTGAGGACCGACATCCAAAGGGCTTTGAGTGAAGAGGATGCCGGTCACCTGATAAAATAACTCCTGCCAACTGTTTACATGAGTTAGGATGTTTGTCCACAACAGTTTCAATTAGAAGGCCTAGAGGTACACCACTATGCATGGTGACCATCTTCAAAGTTCTATGCAGTACAGCATAGTCTTTTTACAGCAATCCAGGAAAGAATAAAGGGGAACAATAAAAAATAGACAAGATGCAAGAGTTTATAAAACACAAGAGAAGAGGCTGTTATACCAGATACTCTCAGCTTCTTAACACAGTAAGTTGGGCGGAAACTAGTAAAATATGGGAGGACTACGAAAAGTCCCAAGAAAAACAGACCCCGAGATAAATCACACTTGTAATATTCTCTGATACACAACCATCAATAGAACAGGAAGTGTAAGACTTAGGCAGTTTACAAAGGTCATGTTCACGTTTGAAACTAAAGTTTGTACCTTGACATTTTGAAGAATTAGGTACAAGACCACTTATAAAGGACCATCGTCTAATAGATAGAAAATCGTTCAGATAGGAACAATCCATTGAAGAGGACACGAGTATGGAAACTGTCCGGTTATCAGAATATTCGATAAAATTGATACTAGCTGAAGATCGTAAGTCACACAGAAAGAAAGAGAAAAGGTCCGATGAAAGAACAGCACCTTCTGAAGAAGCGTCAATTTCTGTAAGTTTAATTAAATGCTGTAAAGTCCTACTGCTCATATCAGAATTTAGCGTTACAAAGTGGAATGTGTAGTTCATATCGGCCACATATCCTTTCAAATTAGGAGAGAACGTCAAAACTGTTAGTCATTCAAAAGTAGTGGCTGACTAGCATCACACCATCTATGAAGCCAACAGAGACATTTCAATTCACATCGTTCTCATGACGCAACTTCACATACAACAACGGTATTTCACTGCATTTTAAGAGACCTTTTTAGTGTGATAGACTTTCCTGGAGCAACCACTGAAATCGGCATACCTAGGAGAAATGAATGTCCAGTATGTGAAGAGATAGATACTTTACAACACAACATAAAGAAGTGGATCCTAATTTTTAGTTTAAACAGCCTGTAAATGAGCAAACACTCTTAGTTCGTGCACAAGATGATACGCTAATTACTGGGGCGTAAACGAATTACTGTACATTTAAGGAAGCAAACCATGACAAATCGATAAGATTTAAGCTACAGAGACAGTCTGAAGTGAAAAGGCTACGACACTTAACATATGAACCCGTTTTGTTGACAGCTCTTATTCGGTTGCACTAAACAAATCAATTGTTTGTGAAATATACACACATGTTCCGCTAATAAGCTGGTTACGGTGAGATGACAATCATAGCCGATTAACTTTCCTAAAAACTTGAAAATGATCGCTAAATGATAGACAATTCAATAGTCATAAAACGTTTAAGCACAAAACTTAGATTCTCCTCTATGTAAAAACGAACGAAGCTTCATGAATATTTGTCAGTATATATATATATATATATATAATGAAATGAAGTGTACGAATAACTTATACTTACCTTACGAGTAGTAGAGAGTAAAGATTTCGCTGCATTGGGACATTTGACAATAATTATGGTTGCACGATTTTGTAAGTCTTCGTAGTTTGTTAAACGTCCAAGAGCTTCATCACAGGCTAAGCATAAACCCTCAACACAGAAATATTTGGCCTCCATAGCTAGTTCTTCTAACTCTCTCCTATTTTCCGGTAGAGGTACTGACCATCCCGAATATAGTTCAAAACTGTCCCAAAATGCTTCCCACTACGATCGATAAGTACCCATCCTAAAAGCAAATAAATCAGTTGTCACTAGTTGACATAAAAATCCTCTTAACTCTATTAAAAGAATTGAGCTTATACCTGTAAATTGAGAAATAAATTATTCGTCGTCTGACATCTACAAACACGATAGTCTAAAGTGTTGCAAAAACACTATCTCTCAACGTACCACCCAATTAAATACAGCATCTCAGTAGTCTCGGTTATTTACACCTAAACCATAGATTGAATTAAGAAGCCATTTTTTCTCATATCTGCAAAGCAAATATGAGGACATTACTTCTCACAGTTTGTTTAAATGATCATAATCCCAAAAAAAAATATTTAAAACAGTTAATATGTACAAGAGTTTATTAAAAGTAACAAACAAAAGTTTGTTCATAAAATCTATCGAAAACAACTTTCTAACATATTAACACAGCGAAAGCCAGAAGTGAAGCCAGTTAGGGTGATTGATATTGAGACTTATTTACAAAATCGTTACCGAAATCCTTTACTAAATAAAAGGTGGCTAGGTTGACATAAATACTATGGAACGGAAAACTGTGAGAGAAAAATTATATTCAAAAAGACTACCAGTGGAAAGTAAATTTTCAACTAGATATAGATAGATCCAAGCCAAATAAAATGGCGAATAGAAGTTTTCGAACTTAAGCTAACTGAGGGAGTACGACACAGATACCGACAGAGAAATGAGTGGAGGGATCGTTCATTTTCAAGCAATAGTGCAGCAACCCAATTCGACTTAGATCAATTCTAGTCGATAGGTGTAACCTTAACGTAATAGTCGGCCTTGTCTGTCATAATGACTAGATGAACTGTTTTGACTGGGACGACTGCTCCTTGAAGTCATGCTGTCATAAAAGTCCGTTGGTGGTAAGACAAAAAGCAGTTACTGTAAAATGGTGCTAGTAACATGGTATGGCTCTGGAAGCTAACGAAACGCGCTCAATCACCTTGGGAACATTCGTGTAGTAGGCGATGAGCCACACCTGTGTGATGGCTAGTGATACTGCCTGGCTGCGCAAATCTCGGTAGGTGTGGTGGGGCGCGAACATGTGACCCAATGGTTGATAGTCATCTCCCTAAACCACTGAGCTCAATAATGACTATGAGTTTATACTACGAACTAAGATACCAGCAGATGATATCATGTTAGTAGTACAGGTACGCCTAACTTCTGCAAAGTTGCAGAATAAAAAATACAAACAAACGGGAGTTGTCATGGGATCACCAATATCCCCTATCGTGGCTGACATATTTATGGATAGTTCGGAACGGATGGTCCTACAAACACCTATTCCTACTTCAAAGATGTGATCCTGATATGTAGATGACATATTTACAGTACTGAAATCGGAACACATCAATAGGTTCTTGACACATAAATTCAGTAGTGAATGCAATTTGATCCACCTGTAACTTAGAAAGTGATGATGAGCTAGCAATGTTGGACTGCAGAATAAAACGAAGACAAAATGGGAGTTCAGACATTAGTGTCTACAGAAAACCGTCACACTCAAAACATTACTTAGACTTCGAATCATCTCATCCTACGTCAGTCAAAGTTAGCTTGGTAGAATGTCTAAGTAACAGCGCCAGAAAACCTACTAGTAAAACGGAAGATCTAAGACCAGAAATCGGATATATTTAGGACATCTTATCCCCCCAACAACCACTCTCCTAAACTAATTGATAAGTTCCTCAGGAATCGTAGGAAAAATGACTAGTATTGGCAACACAGGTGTTAACAATAGTAGTAACAATGTTAATAATAATAGTAATAGCAGCACCAATACTGTAAAGATAGAATTCACAGCCTCTACAATAGTCATACAAAGAAGGCGCCTCAGAGATATTACGTAGGATTCTCAATAAGGCTGGGTGGGATTAGAGTGGTATTTAAACCTATAGACTCACTTAGAAACAAGCTTTGTTGGTTAGAAGATCCTATTGATTCAATTAAACAAAATAATTTAGCTAAACAAGTCCCTTACCCAACCGAAAGCTGCTACCTTGACGTGGTGGTCGGGCTTGCATATCACAATGACCCAACGAGCTATACTGGTGGAACACTTGTTCCCTCGAGGTCCTACTATGCCAAATAGGTCTATTGGATGGTGGTTAGACGAAAAGCAGTCACCGTTGTGGTGTAACTTACTACATTATGATGGGGGTCTGAAGGCGAAGTTGTACTGCTGTTAGCTGGATGGTGTGTGACAGCAGTAAGGTGTTTCCCTTGGATGACCAGCAGTACCATGCTGATGCTGCCTTCTTAATGGTCTGCCGGGTCGACGGTGTTGGTTCATTTGTCGTTTCTTTTCGACCATCCTGGACCGAAAACAAGCATACACAAAAGACTGTGTATGACAGCCCTCAAGTAGATGTCCGGTGGGCTCTGTGGTCACACAAATCTCTTTCATGTACCTTAAGAAGAAATAGCCTTCCACGATATGGGCAACCGGGAAGTGTCGACCGCCATCACAACTCTGTCAGCACTCAAGTTTCTTCAGACTGGTACGCACCTCCCGCATCATTACCTAATCTTCCATCACGTCTATAGGTGTAAAACTTGGGCAATGTGGCAAAATTTAATTCCATATTAGATTTGTTTATTTGATTTATAAAACACAGTGATACAGCATTATTTGCTTGATGACGTTTGGAGCAGAAATTATTGCTCGTAATCTTATCATTGATACGATTATAAGCAATAATTTATGCTCGAAACGTCAAGTAAATAATACTATATCACTTTGTGTCATAAATCAAATAAACAAATCCAATATGGAGCTCCTTCACGTTTCTCAACTAACGATACTATATCATCTTTAATTTCTCCTAGTTCCGCAGCCTTCGACAACGATCTGAATCCACAGAACAGTATCCCTAGTCTCCTTAAACTTCGCTCCAAATTACATATCGGGGTCTTCAATGTCCGCACCCTCCGCCAAATCGGTCAACGGGCTTTGTTGGCAGACTCTGGCAACTCGGGCCATGGATGTGTGCTGTGTTTGTGAGACACACATACAGGACTCAAGTGTGGTTATTCACCTGACTTCTCACGGCCAATCTGGTGAATGCGTGAAATTCACCCTTCGAGTTTCTGGAGATTCGATGGCTAGCTCTCGCGGTCTTGCAGGTGTAGGCATAGCACTAAGCACTAGGCTACTAAGCTCACTACTAGACTGGATCCCAGTTGATAGTCGCCTCTGCGCTATGTGGCTGAACGGCGTAGTGAGAACTAAAAGGAATAGGGAGACTCGCCGTTGTCTCTTTGTAATCTCTGCTTACGCGCCCACTGACTGCAGCTCGGATGAAGGGAAGGATGAGTTCTACCGTAAACTGTCTAGCCTCCTCTCGAAATCCAAACGCTCGGATATGGTGGTTGTTGCAGGTGACTTCAACGCACAAGTGGGTAGACTGAATGAGGCAGAAAGGCACTTAGGTGACACTTTCAGAGTCCCGGCTGAACGAACAGATAACGGTGATCGGCCACTACAAGTGTGCTCAGATAACCGCTTATTTTTAGTAAGCACAAATTTCAGACATAAGAAAAGACACTGCCTGACGTGGCGTCCACCGAGCTCAACTCAGCGATGGATACAGATAGACCACATCGCTATTAGTCATCGTTGGAGAGGATCGGTGGAAGACTGTCGCTCCTTCTAGAGTACGTGTTTGGATAGCGACCACACGTTGGTCCCAGCACGTATATGCCTGCGTCTCATTGGACGTAGGAAACATTTGGCAACAAAACCACTACGAGTGCTGCTGGACTACAATAACACCAAAGCTGTGTTCAGTGAAAAACTGGTTAGGCAGTTATCGGAACAGAAGACTATCACTCATCCAGAAGGAGCTTGGTGCCATCTTCAGTCTGCTGTAAAAGCAGAGCTGAAGACTGTAGCCAACTCCGAAAGAGTGGCTAAACAGATCTAGTGGATATCAGCAGCTTCCTCCGAACTAATGGATGCACGTGAACTGATCCCTGCAGGCCCCGAGTACAATAAAGAGCGGGCACAGCTTGAAAGTAGACTGAGAAAAAGTCTACACAACGACCGCGAACTGTGGTGGGCAGCGAAGGCTAAAGAGATGGAAAAGGCAGTGGCGATTGGTAACAATAGACAGTCATTTAGACTTATTAAGGAGACTGGGGGAAAAAGTCAACAACAGTTAGTGAGACCATAGCGGAGAAGGACGGGTCTGCGATTTACTCGTAGGAGAGACGACTCGAACTATGGGTAGAAAACTTCGAGGAACAGCTTAACTGGCCTCTCTGACTGGTCTGAATCACTGATTATCCCAGTCTTCAAGAAAGGCGAGAAGTCCTCTTGTGATAACCACAGAGGAATCAGCCTGACGAACATAGTGTCTAAGATTCTAGGTCCCTTAATTCTCCGACCCTGAGTGGAGCTTGGGAACAGCAAGTCCGAGAAAACCAAGCAGGCTCTAGACCCGGCCATGGGTGTATTGACCAAATATTTACATTGCGCCAGGTTCTGGAACATAGGCATGCTTACCGACGCCAGACGATAGCTGTTTTTCTCGACCTGATGGCGGCGGCATTCGACTCTGTTGATCGAGAAGTCTTATGGCAATGTCTCTCATTGAAGGGCGTGCCGAGTAAGTACATCACCTTATTAAAGGCTCTATACTCGAACACTTGTGGGCGTGTTAGAGCCTATGGCGAGTTATCCAGGGAGCTATGCTCATCGAGTGGTGTCTGTCAAGGGTGCCCACTCTCTCCATTCTTATTCAGTTTCATCATAGACGTACTTATAGAGGTCTCTCTCCCTCCCGTCACCTGACTACACAGAGGTTGACCTGATCGCAGGAGTATTTTCGTTAGACCTAGAATATGCAGATGACATAGTCCTGTCAAGTGAAGACGCTGACAAAATGCAGAATCCTCTGAACACTTTGAGTAGCAATTTGAGAATGTTTGGGATGCGGTTCTCACCACCCAAATGCTAATTGTTGCTCCAGGATTAGTCTTCAACGGTGTCCCACCGCAGCTAACAGTAGAGTGAAGTGGTTGAGTGTGTTGACCACTTCACTTACCTGGGAAGTAGGATAAGCCCAGCCCTGGTGGTTCATTGGCTGGTGAAATCTCTGCACGGATACAAAAGGCTCGATTGGCTCTCGCCAACTTATACCACCTGTGGCGCGGCCGCGATATCCAATTGTCTATTCAGGGTCGCGTGTACTGCACAGCAGTCCGTTCTGTTCTACTATATGGCTGTGAAACATGTCCATTGAAGGTGGAAGACATGAGGAGAAGGCTTCACGTGTTTGACCACCGTTGCCTTTGTAGTTTAGGCCGTATTCCATAGTGTCACCAGGTGAGTAACGCAGACGTCAGGTGTAGAGATAAATATGTTGATGAGGTTATGAACCTTCATCTACTGAGATGGTTGGGACACGTACTACGTATGCCCAGTCGCCAATCACCTTGTCACACAATGTTGACTGAAGTAGGTTAGGGCTGGAGAAAGGCCCGAGGTGGCCAAACTAAAACATGGCAACAATGTATGAAGTCTTTGACTGTTGGTTTGAGCCATGTAGAGCGATGCAGACTAGGTGGTTGGGGTCCACGGGACAACAGGAACCAGTGGTTGGAGACTCTAGGTGATATGGCTCAGAACCTATATCGGTGACGTAGATGTATCCACACATTATCCTCATCTTAACGACGCTATACCGAATCTCACCATTTTCTCATTTTTCCTTTCTCTTTTTTCGTACTTTATATCTCTTTTGACTGGATGTTCTTTTCTTCATCTTCCACCACTGCCTTTTTATTTGACGTACTGATATGAGGTGTGATAACTAGGACGTTACGCAGTAATGCCTGGTCTTACGTTGATAGATGGTGATGATGATGACGATGATGATAAGCCCCTTGCAACGATTGCGAAGTCAGACACATAATTCAAAGTAGCCGACAAGGCTCAATTAGGCTATGGGGGGGGACAAAAAACTAGCTAGGACAAAATTGGTAGATCCTAGTAAGATAAGGACATATCAATGCATCCAATTACACACAACCACACAAAGGGTGAGACGGGGTGAAAATCCTAAAAACTAACATAGCAAAGTGGGCGGAAAGATTGACAAGTGAATCTTTGTTTATCAAATCAACCCTGATGCATACAATAAGGATGACTCAGCTCCTGTTCAGGATATATGGAAAATCCTACTACTCATATCACAAAGGAAGCGATGAAATCAGGACAATATAAAGGATATCTCAAAGTTCTGTGGCTATCTTGATATGACTATGAACAACAAATTATGTCCAAAACGTAATCCAGTAAACAATACCGTTCTTTTGTGTGATAATCTACTAAAGTGGAATTACATTTTACCAAACTGTTCAAGTTTCACCCTTATATTAAAGAGTTAAATGCTACCTTTAGATTAAAAAATGACAGATGTTGGTTGCCGGTAGGTATGCCTGTGTTGCGGAACCTGTCGGAGGGTGAAGGTCTGGTCGATGCACATTCACCCGGGTCTGAAACCTGCCTGGTTTTCTCGAGGTTGCTCTTATCGTGCTCCAGTTAGGCGTAGGACAACTAAGAAACCCTAAGAACTCGGACACAATATTAGTCAAACTAATTCCCCCAGGATAACATAACTATGTCCAAAGCAGCCGAATATAAGGAGTTACGAGCCACTATTAAGTGGCTTTAAACATCAGCTAATTTGGGTTGCAGCTACTAGAAACCTAATTCTACGGTCTCTTTAGAAAGCCTACCAGGGCTCAAACGGAGATACATCAGATTTTTCATGCAATATGTGTAAGACCATATTCGGGATCCAAGTAATGAGCCGACGCTTCGCACAAGAATTTGGTATATTAGAGAAGATCTAGAGGTGACATAGGATGGTTAAAGGGCTCTTTACGAAGAAAGGTTGGACTGACTAGGTATTTAATCCACTGTATTATCGTAGGATGCGGAGCCACTCCATAACACCGTGATTATAATTCAATCTTCATCTGGCAACTAAGCTCAGTCTTGTATACTGCACTGAAAAAACACCTTTTATTGGATTTCTGCTATAAACTGTAAAGTAGCATGCCTTTTTATCTCGTCTCTACGTTCGAAAAAATTTCCTCCAACGTATGAATGATAGAAGTCTGTTGCTAGTTGTCGCATGCTCGGTGGATTAGAACCTCTTGGTCACTCAGCTCTAGTGGAGTGACTTTATCTCAGATGTTACTTACCGCAAAAAGTTCCGTAATATTTTATATGCCATATCTGAATAAACATAGTATCCTCACTTCCTGTTAATAGCTTTAATACGAGGTTGAATATTCACAGCACTAACAACTGCAAGGATTAGCATACGCCGCTGGTCTACTACTTTTGTCCCCGAACAATACCTAATCAACAATTTCGTCGAATGAAATATGGCAACATTGGGCCACGAATCTGATGTGGGGTCAGAATTAGTCCGTATGGGGTCAAACGTTGGGGACTGTTTAAATCAGGCCAAACATAGGGCTGATGGGGCTGGTTGTAAGGCCGACAATCAGTACGTCGGGCACTTGTAAAAACTTAGAGCTGATTATGGAAGTGGAAATCATCGGGCCGCACGTGAGGGAAATGCTGCAAGGCCCTATGTTTAGCCAGGCGATTTCTATAGTGAGCAGCCCAACATTGCCCTGTTTGGCTGGGATAGGAACACGCATTTGTGCGCTGAACCGTCTTCGAAGTTTATGTATGTCCACTTGGTTGAATGCTAAGTCCCAGATCCTAATTGATTGATTCAGAATGTACACTGACTTTATAACCGAGGTCCGCAACTAATTCTCTTGAGGCAATCTGAAAGTGTGTGAGCCAATTCAAAGTGGAACTCTCTTCTCCCACTAAGGAAAAATGGAAAGTCGTACTTCGACAAGTGATACCATTCCTTTCAGTAAATGTACTTTAATGGAAACTAGATACCCACAGACGCACTCCGAGTAAATATTAGTGCGAGCAGCACAGCCCATTATTCCGATCACCTACAAATGGAGAGCTTAGTTAACGCTCAGTACTTCATATACACGGTTTTTGTTACAGTTGGCAAGGTGACCGCACAAAAGAGTTTGGCTGTAACTATGTGCCTACGAAATTCGGGGGAAAATATTGGTCTAGAAGTGAAATCTAGTCGCTTACCATCATCATCAGTCTTAACCTCCATTCGACCACTGAACATTGCAGTCAGCATTGTATTGCCCCGCAAAAGGGTCCCAATTGTTGTGTAGAATAAGGATCCACCAACGTTTAGCTTTACATAACTGTTAATCCGCTCTACAGACTCTGTTTCCCCAGCCATCAAACTAAACCCAGCCGATGACCTTAACTTTTAAAGAAGCCTCAGTAAGCAACATATGAACGTACAAAACAAGACAGCTATGTTTCGCGTGGAAAACTTCGTATGTCCTGTCTTGGACTAAAATTTCAATAACAGAAAACCACGAAGTTTTGACTGTCATTTATAGCGTTCAGTCTTTAGCAGGTGTTTTAGTAGGTAACATCCAACAACATTCAACACTGATAGCGCAAGCGTAGAAAACTGAAAGTTTCCTATCTTCAAACTTCAAACTTCGTGTTGTAGGATCCTTGAACTGCGGTTCCTTGGGTTCTACTTCTGTCTTATTCGGATACGTTCTGAGTTTGGAATGGTCACAATTATCTTCCCGGTTTTGAAAAACCTGAAAGGATAGAGATACAATTAATTAACTAATCTGGTCTCAAGTTAATATTACTGTATCTAATCTGGGGAAAGCTTCTCGAGTATAGCCCATCGGTACCGTAGGACTCGAGGTGTGCCTCTAGCCTCCTTTTAAAGGTATCAGGGGATGGAGCTGTAACAACTGCTGAAGGGAGGGAATTCCACAGTTTACAGACTCTAACTGCAAGTGAGTTGGCACGGATCTTTGTACGTGCTCTCTCATGCTCTATTCTTAACGGGTGACCCCCCAAGTCGCGTTTCCGACTAAAGCTTAGAAAGGAGCTGTTGGGATGGAGGGGATTATGGGCGATGTGGTACATCATGATCATATCCCCTCTGATCCTCCGGTGTTGTACTGGGTGCAGCTGAAGAGCAAGTAAGCGGTCTGGGTACGGTTTGTGCCGTAACCCAATCACTTTCTTTGTAGCTCTTCCCTGTACCCGTTCTAGGATGGCTATGTCCTTTTCAAGTATGGGGATATTACAAGGGAATTTTCTTCTAAATGAGGACGAATGTGCAGAGCATATGCTGTGGTGAAGAGAGAAGGAGTCAGACACTCTAAGGTTAGCGAGAGAAGCCCCAGGATTCCATAAGCCCTATTGGCTGCAAGGTGGCAGCTCTTGCGCCTATTTCCTGGGGCTTAGTTCATGTTGTTAGAGTTCCTCCTGCAATGGAAAAAGGAATCTCTCCTGCTTTTCTGCTTTCAGCTCCGGCGAGCCGATTACCTTTCGTAACTCCTGTCTGTATAATTGCCTGGATGGAAATGACAAGATGGTAGGGAAAGGTATGTGGGAATTGTGCGAAAAGTAAAAGTAGATGGTACGGGTCTGTTTGTCAGAGAAGAGTTGGTAGATAATGTCGCTGCATCAATGAGGGTGATGGAGAGTGGTAAGTAGGGAGGAAATGGCAGTGGGCTACTTAGGTCAATAATTCCCCGGGCATGTCTAAGGTAAGCCACACGAAATGAAATGAATGTCTAAACGTCGTTTGAATGAGTTTGCTGAGGAGCTGTGACTACATCCCACGGTAAGTCATTCCATAAAGCACATACTTTTAGAGAGAAAAAGTTAAACCTTGGCCTTTCTTTAGCTCTCTCGTGTACTTTTCTGATGGAGGTTTCCTCGTGATGACCACCATGTTGCTGCCAAGGCTAGTTTGTCTGCGTAATTTACCTGTTGGATGATCCTGTAGACCATAACAAAGTTACCCTTCTTTCTGCGATAGCTAAAGTTCTGGGCTGGAATCTGCTCAGAACTAGTTGAACTCTCACATTTCAACCACCACTTCTTCCTCTCTCTTTACTTGCACTCAGGTTGAAAACCGCAAGCAGTAGTGTTCCACGAATTTTAGACGTGGAGGCCAGTTAAGCGAAAGCCTCTTCTACTCCGTTGACAACCATCTGAACCATTTGCATAAGTTTAGGTGCATCAGTCTTTCAGAGTATGCCATCCTCCTTTGTCCAATGACCGGTTTCGTTGCAGATCACCCTGGCTGCTATTTCCGGTGGAGTGTCTGAGAAGTTGAAGGTCGCCTCAGAGTGCTGTGCAGTTGCTCTCTCCTTTTAGTACCCTCCAAATTTAATGTCACCAGCAAATAGGAGGATGGGTGAGGAGAATTTGCCTGGCGTATCTTTATCGAACAAGAAGAGCGGAATTTCCCCTCGAAGCACCCTTCTCCTCTCCGAACTAGTTCTGTTTACCCTGGTACAGAACCGCCTGCCTTCTGGATGCACTCTAAACTAAGAGAGTAGTGGTTCACTTATACCAGCCGATGCTATCTTGAGAATCAGGACTATGTGGGACACTGCCAAATGCCTTGGCTAGGTCAAAAAACAACAGGCACCAGTTTTTTGTTGTCCCAACTAAATATCTCGCCGTCTCAGGTGGTCAGTGTGCTGGCGGTGCGTGACTGACCACTCCGAAGGCCATTCTGAGCTGTGTGGCTGGACTTGTCCCTGTTAGAGAATCCCCGGGTCTCGACAGCTATCAGGCTTTCTAGCGCTTTAGGCAGTATAGGAAGTAAGTCGATCGGTCTGTGGTCACTGGGACTTTTTCCGTCTCTTTGGCCGAAGATGGGCTGCAAGATGGCTCACCTTGACTCTTTAGGGGGTTTGTATGACCCTGGCAAGTGCCCAAAGAGGTTACGCATCAGTATTGCGAGCGTCTCGACGTAGTTTTTAGGAATACCGACCCCAGGTTGTCGCGGCCAGCGGAACTGCCTGAGTGGACCCCCTGTTGGTCCTCACAGTATATGCATGTATGAATTTCCAATTTTGCTTTGAATGAGTCTTATCAAACACCCCATACAAGCTGCTGGCAGAGAGTGTCCCAGCCGTCAACAACTCAGAAAAAACGCGGGCCATACTAATTTGATTCTGTGGTTGCCTTTCAAATTACTTTCTGTGACCTCGTGGATAATCAGTCCTAACATATACTGACATCTAAGTCCTATTTCGGAGACTATAGGCGGTTATGCGCCATCAGCGGAATACTGATATGACTTGCTATGCTCGAACCATACTACTGAGGTTTCGCTGTACCATTAGCGTTTCAACCAGTAAAACAGTTCATATTAGCCAGCTTGCGGCTCACTCCTACCAGCCGCACTCCGATATCACGGGATCGTCCCTTGTCCTCTCTTGCGAAGTGACTGTCCGTCAAGGACGGGTGTTCTGCCAGAAAACTATACCATTGCGGTTCTGAAAAAATATTTGCGTCAGTGTGATCGAGCACTTTTGAAAATTTTTGCGGCCATGCAAGTTAGGCTCACATGACGACAGTCAGATACTAGCTGATGATCAACCGCCTTAACATCTGAGATAATGATGATGATGACGTCCTTCCAGCCCATCGTAAAGCCAGTTTTCTACGGGAATACGTTGAAAAGTTCAATGGCCAGCCAAAACAGCAACCTGCAGTGCAAGCAAACGCGACTTGGAAATTTTTCAGGTTTAGGGTTACCAAGTTACCTGGATATAGTCTCCTTCGTTAGGGTTAGGGCACCGCCTATGAAGCACTGACAGCGCAACTGCTGAATCCGTTGCCATTTCGGCTTGAAATAAACCTTCAGCTTCGGCTAGACTAGACTCCGCCAAGCTACCTTGAATCTCACCAAACACAAAATTCCACCCTTATTTTCATTTTCTCTGAAGTGGACGAACAAAGTCATTCAAGTTTCTCAACCGATTATTACCTGTGTGTCATATGCTATTGAAGAACATGCAATTATAGCACAGGTTAGATTTGGAATCACGCTATACTCAACTCCAAATTTCTCCGATTCCGCCTTTTGGGATGAGCCCAGCAGGCGTATCCTCCAAACTGAGTGCCCTAGACACTCTAAGTGATGACTGTGAACAGGTTTTCATGCAGCCGACAGTGGAACCCATGCACTTTTACTTCTTTGACCGTGAGTCTGACCTTATCTCACACATCATCGATAGATGGGTCGCCATAAAAATTCACATCTTTACTGACCGCGCAATTCCTTTCAACCGATGCAACTTTGCTCCACACATCCCGTGTAGAAGGACGAGTGCTGTAATTTAACTCTCATATTCAAAACATAAAAGGCGGTACGATATGACTGCTTTCCACTAACGGAAAGTAATTATCATAAGGTCACAATATCCTCATATCACTGTTAAACTAGGCCTCTGGCGACAGCTTATGCTGTAAGCTGTAACCTGTTACACGTGCTACGCTTCTGAATGAGGCGGACCCTATAACTCTCTAAAATATATCACCACTGCAGTAAGCATCTGAGGTTGGTTCTGAGAGCTCCGCCCACTTACATGTGCAGTATTCACGTCTTCCACTGTTGAGCATCCACTGCTTCTGCACGCGATCCTGCCCACAGTGAGTTTCAATTCAGGATGGAATACTTCAAATTAGATTGGCAGAACAGAAACTTTACCTCAACTTTAAATTTATACTGACTACTTCTGTTATGCTGTCTTCATCTGTTTCTAAAACATCTGATTGTATGTGTAGATCATCACAACTAAAAACGGTTGGCTGCCCTTTTTTGAGACTCCCAACCATATCCACCTTTATGCAGGGGGACTCTGACAGAAGTGGGGAAAAAGAGATATTCAAATATAGTTTATTGACTAGGACCTTCAGCTTTGGTGCCCGATTTCCGAAGCTGCGAACGTCGGTTTGCAGTGCCATCAAAGTGCTTGAGGTGTTTCTCCAGCCATCAATGTAAGTCTAAGGGCCATTGCCTTTCAAAGCCTCCACCCAAAACCCTCACTTTCGGGGTTTTCCTATGCCTTTTTACTACTGACCCTGCTGTCTTAGAACGTTAGGCATGAAGACGTATCCAAACATTTTCCACTATTTTAGGGACCACTTTACACTTTATTCTTCAATAAAAGCGGAGTTCAACGACAAGCTACTTGTTTCCGTATTCCATGCCTCTTTATTTCATACCTCGATGAGCATTATGTTGTGAGTACAGAAAGATCATATCGCTATTAGCCATCGTTGGAGAGGATTGGTTGAAGACTACCGCAGACTGCGATCATGCATTGACACAGGTACGCGTATTTTTGGAAGCAGGAGGTAGACAGCAGTTAAGCTTCCACATACTCAACTAGATGACGGGAATAGTAAGCATGTAATTACGGAGGATATAGCCAGACATTTATCTGA